GGAGTACAGAATCGGTCTTGGTTCTCCGGCCAATGTGATTATGCCTATGAGAAGTAGAACTGAGGGGGAAATGATAGGAATAACTGCTAGGTTGTTTGCGTGCACAGTGTCTTTTTACTCCTTTTGTTTTTCACCGGGAGGCAGTGAAGGTGTTTTTTATGACCCCTTGTGTGAATCCTCCGTCTCCTCTGCAGATCCCTGTGCGCTCAGTGAACTGTGACCACCTGCAGTGCTTTGATCTCTCCTCCTATCTAACAATCAACAAGAAGCGTCCTCGGTGGTCCTGTCCTGTCTGCAGTTCGCCCGCCCCATTCCGCGATCTGCGACGCGATGAGTAAGTGCTTCTGTGTGACCTCCACTTTTCCCACTTTGTGTCCTCTACGAGTCTTTTTTTGCCTTAACCATCTGAAAATATTACCGGAAAGAAGGAAGACTGGAATGACCTGTTTTATCTGCTTCGTCGTCCTCATGGCCAGCCGTGCCCCTGCCACAGGTCACGTGATAGCGGTTTGCATTATCGGTTTTAGGTGTTTTGTCTTCACTAGCCAGCCACACTGGTCACGTAAAGGTGGAAATTTGCGCCCGTATCAGTCGGTCATCAGACGCCCGACCACTTGTGCCACGACAAAAAGCCATCAGGAACTTGGTCACATAGAAGCTATCCTTATCCCGACCCATATGCAGAGTGATATCGCTTGCATTCCATTTTTTATTGCAATACCAATCTTACCTTGAATGTATTCACCTCCTTTTTGTTTAGATCATATCAGGCAGAGTGTGCTTACTCCTGACTATTACCTTTTCGCGTTCTGGCGAAGTTAGTCTCCTGTTATAGTCAGATTTGTGTATTTTCATGGGACTTTAAATCCAGTAAACTGATCAAAGGAGGCTAAAATTTTTAAAAAGGCGAAGATCACGAGATTAGCAGAACTGATTCCTACCCTGTCCTCTGTCTCCGCCCCCCCCCATCTTAACCACGTCTCAAGGCTTTCGTGAATATGAACTGCCATCCCGTGACAGCTGTCCCTTCCTACTTCTACCCCCTCACAATGCGCCCACATCTCAGACTAATAGCTTCTACTTTATTTGCCTATCAAGACTCGTCCTTCTAGGGCGACAGTTAATTTGTTTTTCACAGGCAATGACCGTTTGCAGTTGCATAAGAGGTCGCGAAGTTATATGACGTCGATAAATTCTGCTACTCTCGTGAAATTCGTCTTGTTCAAAATTTCTTCCGGGAAGACCAAATAATGTTTTTTTAGGGTCTGAGGACTGAGTGCGCTCCAACAACTACTTAGTAATGGGAAAACGGGCATTTTTTACTCCTTAGATCATTAAAAAAAATTGTTAACCAGGTTTGGCTGTCTATCAACTGCCTGTGCTTTCGGTCCATGT